GGTGGCGAGCCCCGATCGGCATCGGGGAGCGGTTCGGAGCTGGGGAGGAAATGGCTGTTTAATTAGGAAAAAGCGCTGCATGGCAACGAGCGGGGAGTTCCCGCCTCTCGCGCCACCGCTGGCTCCAGCACAGCTGGGAAATGTCCGAACTGCTGGAAAATAACTTTCCCTCCTGGTTTTCACAGAGAAATGCGAACTATCCACTAGTGTTGCGGCTCTCCCGGGGTCGGACAGCTGGTTTCACTTAGATCTGTGTGTGATCAGCCTTCCCGGCATCTTCCTGCTATTTTATCACATGTCAGCGAGTTAGTTTTACCGTATAAGGACTGCGGGGCTGCTGCTGGGAGAGGTGGAGCCAGCCCGACTCCAGCTTCCCAGTGGCCCCGGCTCCATCCTTTTGAAATCTTGCTTAATTAAAATACTAGTTGAAAGTGCCCTGCCGAGTGGCAGGAGCTGCAGACCCCACAGAACAGATGCCAATTTCGACACGATTGATGCCTTGTGTGTAAATCAAGGAAGTCAAACACGTAGCCCTGTGTTTAAAAAACAAATGATATGCTGGATAATTAATGACATGGGGAATTCTGGGTCAGCTTCCACTTGGATCAGGCACTGAAACCCTTTCCAAGATGGCACAGCTATGAATGGAAACCACTTCCTGCAGCTTAGGAGGAGCACAGGAACCAAACTGGAGAAGCTGCAGCAAAACAAATATTTTTTTCAAAGTCTTTAACATAAAAGGATAAACCAGTTGCCCTTCCAGCAGGATCTAGAGACCCTAAAGAGTTTAAAGAAAAAAGTTTCTTTTAGATTTGACAATCGTGCTGAGATTTGGGGATAATTAAGTGCACAAACCTGGATTAAAGTAGGGCTTTATTTTCCTTCAAATCACAACCAATTAAAGGAGTCATATCTCAATAAACACAGTGTATGTCTGGGCACCAGTTTGTTTACACTGTCTCTGCAAGCATTTCTCCCAACAACATCCACTTATTACTTAAGTCTTTTTTTTAAACACTAATAGTGTTTCAAATTACTTGTCAGTTTATCCAGTGATCCATCAACATCTGATTATTAAGAAATGTTTTCTGCTTGATTCCTTAAGTGCCCCGGGAAGCAATGAAAAAGGAAAGTGAACTTATTTTAGGAACATCTCTAAAATTTTGCCCTGTTTGTGTCATTTTTGTAATTACTTTTTGTAAGATGACTCTCTTGTGCTGGAGCCAACTCACCAGCATGTGGAGGGGAGAGGATTTGCAGGCTGAGGAGCACAGAGTGGATGATGAAATGGCTTTAACATCTGCAGCTCCAGGACAGGACGTTGCTGCAACCCAGAGAGAGAACTGGGAAGTTTTTTTGAACAAGCCATGATGGAAACAGTTCAGGTTTTAACTTTGGATTCCTAGGGGTAGATCCAGCCCTGGGAAATGATCTGAAAATGCTTCTCAAGGGGCAGTGTTGAATCCTTTGTTGTGTGGCAGGAATGAAAAGTGCCACTAAAAAAAGAAAGGAGAAGCCCTTGCTCCATACCTTGAGATTCCTGGGATGCCACAGCTGAAACTAACAAAAAGCAGAGAGAGAAAGTTCCCAGAGCTCCCCTGCCGGTGCCAAGGAGAAGCCTTTGCAGGTTTAAGGAAAGCTGATGAGCTGAGAACTCTTGTCAGGCAGGGGGTGCCTTGCAGGTCACCTCAGCTCTGACCTCAGCTGGGGGGGTTGTTTCCACAGGCTGAAGGGGAGGTGGCAGCTCTGAACAGACGAATCCAGCTCGTGGAAGAGGAGCTGGATCGTGCTCAGGAGCGACTGGCCACAGCCCTGCAGAAGCTGGAGGAGGCTGAGAAAGCAGCAGATGAGAGTGAGAGGTGTGTGCCTCTTCATTTGTCTTCCTATTTCTGTAAAAAAAAGTGGATATATACAAGTAAAATACTCCTGTATCATGTTGTATGTGCACATGCTAACACGGATTGCGGGTCAGAGCCTCAGAACTGTCTTATAAGCCCGAGTGAGTCGCTCTGGCAGCCCCTGAGAGCACAAGGGGTGGGCACAACTGGCCACTCTTGGTTAACTCTGAGATAAAAGTGCTAAAATACTTCTGCACTAAACACACTTGCTTTGACTTCTGCAGAGGAATGAAGGTTATTGAGAACAGAGCAATGAAAGATGAGGAGAAAATGGAGATTCAGGAGATGCAGCTGAAGGAGGCGAAGCACATCGCGGAGGAAGCCGACCGCAAGTACGAAGAGGTAAAGAAAGGGACAAGGAGATGGTTAAACACAGAGAAGTTTGAGCAGCTCTGCTGCTCCTCATGCAGACCTCCCTTGTCCTCTGCTGTGTGATGGTTTGACTTGGGAATGTGCCCAAAAAGGAGTGATCTTACTAGTGACTCCGCAGTATCTCAGGTATCCCACACTAAGAACATTGCACAGTCTGATGTGGGTACCTGTTTTGCTCTGGCTCCATCCTGCAGCAGGAGAGCCCCAGGGCAGTGGTGGAGAGGCAGGAAAGCCAGGCTGGACACAGCTCTTCTCTCTTTACAGGTTGCCCGAAAACTGGTGATTTTGGAGGGTGAGCTGGAGAGAGCTGAGGAGCGTGCAGAGGTGTCTGAAGTGTGAGTAGCTGCAGCTGCACGGGGGCAGCTCAGGACACAGTGAAGGTCTGAGCTCTGTCCCATGAGCAAAATCTGCTCCTGGTAGGCAGGCCTGTAGTGTACATTGAAAAGCTTTTTTCTGTTCTACATACCAAATTTTGTCCTGCCAGACTTAACAGTTACAATTACTTCATCTTTGGTATTGATAGACTTCTCAAAAGTTAAATGAAGTCGTCATAGGGACAGCAGGAACTCATACTTCTGGTTTTTATGCCCTGCAGTAAATGCAGCGACCTTGAAGAGGAGCTGAAGAATGTCACCAACAACCTGAAGTCTTTGGAAGCTCAATCTGAAAAGGTTGGTTCTTTGTGCACACTGAGGGAAAGGGGCAAAGTCAAAACATGTCCTTAAAATCTATAGAAATAATCCAGAAATCCAGAGGAGCTGCAAGGGATGAGCTGGCCTCCTGCTCCCTGGCACATCCCTGGGCTTGTCCCTTGAGGTCTGAGATGATGCTTGAATGTCCCCAGTCTTGATTTGATGGTTCATGTACCCGAGTCTGAAATGGCTTTGGGAAGAGGGAAAACTCATGAAAAGGGTTTCTGCAGCTTCTCTAAAAGGAAAAGTGGTTATAAATAGGTCAGGGTTTCATAAACGTGGTATTGTTGGTACAACTTCCCCTAAAGAGTCTTTATTGTTTTCACAGTACTCGGAAAAAGAAGATAAATACGAAGAAGAAATCAAGATTCTCTCTGACAAGCTGAAAGAAGTGAGTGTCTCCAGCCCCCTGCTCTGCTTTGGCATCATTGTTTTAATACCATCCACTTAATCTATGTAATTTTCCTTAGGCTGAAACTCGTGCTGAATTTGCAGAGAGAACAGTTGCCAAACTGGAAAAGTCCATTGATGACCTGGAAGGTAGGCAATGACTTGAGTTTCATTTCTAAGTGGTCAATTTAAAATCTGAAAACAAAATTGTAGGATTGGGTGTTGGATTTTGTTGGGCAAGGGCAGAAGGGCTGGTCAGGTGTGTTGGTAGCTCAGGGTGAAGTGTCCACAGGCCACGTGGTACCTCCTGGCCTGAGGAACTTCCCCTGAAGGAGCTTCTTTCTCCAAATTGGTACCAATCCCCTGCTTTGGGCCAGCCCATAAACACATGGACTCAAGGGCTCTTCCTGTTCCTCACAAGAGCACAACCCAACTTTATACCTAAACACTGGAACATCATTTTGTGAGATTAAAACAAGGGAGAAGCAGATGAAGGTTCTGACTTGGCAGGTCTCTGCATTTCTTGCTTTCATACCAATTCTCACACATCTGTTTTCTTCTTTTGTTTCCTGCCCACCTGCTTTGCTGCTGCCTCCTGCCTGTCTCCGTGTCTCCTCCTCTGCACTTCTCCCTCTGGACTGTTTCTCTGCATTTCTTGCTGATCCACCTTCTGCCCCGGCCACCCCCAGACGAGCTGTACGCCCAGAAGCTGAAGTACAAGGCGATCAGTGAGGAGCTGGATCACGCCCTCAATGACATGACCTCCCTGTGAGCTGCGGGGGCCGCCCCAGTCCCGCCCCCCTCCCCTGCTTTCCTGTCACTTCTGTGCCACAGCCAAACTCTGCCTCCTCTGGAAGAACTGAGCTCAATAAAAAGATGCCTCTGCCTTCCAGCTTCTGGGCTTTCTTTCCTTAGAATTCACCGAACCTTTAGCAGGGACACTGAAAGTCTGTTCAGCCCCTCAGGTGCAGCCGGAGGGGCAGGACCCGGAGGGGCAGGACCCGGAGGGGCAGGACCCGGGGGGGCAGGACCCGGGGGGGCAGGGAAGGGGTGTGTTCTGTTTGTGGCCGAGCTCGGAGCCCTCGGGGCACCGGCAGCTCCGAAGGGGCGGGCGCCTAA